GGACAGACGGATGGATGGCTGGTGGAGAGGTGGACGTACGGACAGAAGGACACAGGGGTGGACAGACGCGCTGGGTGCAGTCCTCTGAACTCAGACAAGTCCTTCTGGTCCACATCCTCCGCCCACTGCATCCAGAATCGGACTGGGGGAGGTGCGCCCTGGTCTCCAGTCTTTCCCAGAGGAACCGAGGCCCAGAGAGACACGGCCCTCCTCTCTGCCAGCACAGCAGAGGCGTTCCCTGCACACGTGGGGCGGTTACCGTGGCTTTTGCAAGACCGATGACCGTGTTAGCGAATGAATCGCATCGAGTGAGGCCCCCCCCCCCCCCCACCGCTGCGTCTCGTGGTCTTGGGGGCGGCTGTAATGCCCACCTCGGGGCCGTGAAGCGGACCCGGGCCCCGGGTCGAGGAGCTGCTGACCTACCTGGGGCAGGGCTTGAACCACCGTGTCCAGCAGGGCCCGCATGCCTGTGGCCATCTTGAGCAGTTTCAGCACTAGGGCCAGGAGCCGAGCATCAGTGGGGGGCGTGGGGCCTGGGCCAGTCTGACCCTCCCCTGCTGCCGGAGACCCCGGGGCCACCCCCATCCCTTATGCTCCCCGGCCCCCGGACCGAGCCCAGGGGGACGCCGCAGGGCGAGCCGAGGAAGGATGCTGGGCCCCGGGGCCGCAGAGGCCACGAGCAGGGGTCCCCGGGCGGGACAGGCGGGGGGCCTACCGCGGGCGATGCGGAGCACACGCATGATGCGGATGATGGTGGGGTTGATGGGCAGGGCCGCGTTCATCTCGATCTCCTCCAGCGTGATGCCCATGATGGACAGCAGCACTATGGCCAGGTCCAGCTGGTTCCACCTGGGGCAGGAGGCGGGCGGGCTCAGGGCCTCCTTCCGGCGCCCCGGCTGCGTCCCGCACCGCTACTCGGCAGGACCGCGTTGTCGGGCCTCGGGCCGGGACCACGGGGCGCAGGGCTGTGGCTCTCACCCGCCCGTGCCCCAAGGGTCCTCCAGGCCCCGGGGCCCGCCCCACACACCTGTCCTTGAAGAACCTCCGGAACCCAAAAGCCACCAGCTTCAGCACGGCCTCAAAGACAAAGACGATGGTGAACACGTAGTTGCAGTACTTCAGGGCCTCGTCCAGCGACTGTGAAGAGAGCGTCAGGCTGCAGGGCCAGCCCGAGGTGCCTGTGTGCCAGCCCCACCCACCTCCGCCCCAGCAGACCCTCGTCCCTCGGGCCTGGCCAACAAGCCCTTGTATGCAGGGCAGTGCCTGGTCTGGCGGCGTGGACAGACTCTGGGACGAGGGCACCGGTCCCTCCCAAGCCCAGACCCCTGGCCCAGCCTCAAGTGGACCCCTGCCCACATCCCAGGACGTGGCCATGCCACACCCGGCATGGCTTCAAGGAAAGCCACGGAGGTTCAGGGTGGGAGGCTGTGTTGTTCTCGTCCCTTCCTCTGAAGGAGAGAGAGGGATGTCCTTTCTTTGATGAAATGGGGACGCAGACCAGATCGGGGCGAAATAAAAAGCCGACTGCCTTCCCCCTGCCCGTCCCCTGCCCAGCTGATGCCTGGGCAGCTGGATGTTCCCACAGACAGCACTACTGGGGGGAGGGCCCTCCTCGTCCGCAGACGGCACCATGGAGGTAGAGGGGGAGGGCCCCCCAGGGCACACGGCCCAGGGAGGTTCAACCAGTTCTAAAAAAAGGAAAACCAGGACGCTTTGCTCAAACCATAGCTTCACGCACCCCACCAACCCCAGCGAGGGCTTGGGAAAGTCTGCAGACGTGGGACCCCGCCCCCGGCTCTGACCAGGTCCACCCCGCTGAGCGTCAGACCCCACCAACGGCCCTCCCAGGGCTTGCGTCCTCGCCACTGGTCCTGCGGACGGCGGTGGGGGGCGGGGGGAGCGAGAGTCTCCAGGCACTGAGCCCCACCTTGGGCTGGTTGTAGTGTTCCATGGACATGGTGATGACGTTGACCCCGATGATGAAGGTGATGAAGAGGTCAAGGTAGTGGCTGGTGCACAGCGAGTGGATGGACCGGCGGGTGGGCGAGTAGTCCGCATAGTAGGGCCGGCGCTGGGCCTCTGCAGGGAGAGGGTGCCGTGAGCTGGGGCAGGGGGCTGCCTGCGCCCCGCGGCACCAAGATGGCCCCGTTCGTCTGCTCGGAAGCTGCGGTGTGCAAGCTGCTGGGGAAGGACCTTGGGCTCAGACACGGGGGTTTGCGCGAGCCTGGGGGAGAGTTTCTCCCCAGAAAGGGGGCACCATTTGGGGCAAGAAGTGGCTCCTGCTGCCGGCTGGAAGCACGGGAGGGGAGGCCTGGGGGACTGGGTCTCAGGAGCATGTCGCCCATCTGATCAGGGGGCCCCAACCCCAGGGCAGGGCCTAGGAGTGGGCCTGGCAGCCGAGACCCCACCTGGGCCCTGCCCTGGGGTCCCGCTCAGTCCCCACCCTGCCAGGGGCTCCCAAGCCGGGCTTCGTCGTCGGCCCTCCTGGGCTGACAAACACCAGTGCAAACGCCCTGACGAGGAAGCCTGAGCAGACAAGGGCCTTCCCGGGCGGCAGGGTCAGTCCATCCCCGACCCCAGCCGCCACAGGGCAGGCTAGCCTACCCCCTGCGCTCTCTCTCTCTCTCTCTCTCTCTCTCTCGTTCCGGGCATGAGCTGGCCCCGGTCACCAGGCCCAGAGTCCCTCCCTCCTCGTCCTCCAAGGGGCCAGTGGCCACCGCCTGCTGTCTGGGCTCTGCCGGACCTCTGGTCCATCTGAGGTTGATGGCCACGACCTGGGGCGGGGGTCATGCGTCCTCCAACGGTTCTGCCTGCACTAAATGCTGCCTGCAGTCACCCCGTTAGAGCTTATCGGTGTCGGCTGAGCACCAAGTGAAAGCACAGCTGTCCCCACCGCACACAGACACACTCCTGGGCCACAGCACCCTGCACAGGCGTGGCCAGGGTGGCAAGAGCTATGGTGGCCCGAGCCAGAAGGCCCAGGGCCTGGGAGAGCAGGGGCTGCTGGGAGCCGACCCCTCCCCGGGACCCTCATGCTCCCTGGGCTGGCGTGCAGTCACTAGAGAGCTTGGCTCAGCTCACAAAGCCAAAGATGCAAACAGCCGGGCGGGGCAGGCCGGTGCCGGGGACGGGGAGCGGCCACAGATTGGCAGGTGCCCCAGGACGCAGCAGAGCTCCAGCCATGCAGGCAGCCAGGCGGAGGGACGAACCCAAGCTTGGAGACGGCAGCACGGACAGCAGGCAGGTGAGCCAGCGGATCCTCCCTCCCGCTGATGCCTGGCGCCCATCCCCCAGCCATCCTGGGCCCCCACCCCGCGATGGACCCCAGCAGGCCCGGCACCAGCCTGCAACGTCCACCCGTCCCCAGGGCAGCGACGGAGCCCGGAGCCACGGAGCAACGGAGCAAGGTCAGCCCGTAGCCCCGTGCACTGGCTGGCCGAAGCGGGGGGGCTAAGACATGCAGGGCGGGGGGCAGATACCTGGGCTGGGGAAGGTGCCTGGAAAGACAAGGAGATGGTCTGAGCTGGCCTCGGGGGGTGGGGCATGGACACTCCACACGGGGCGGGGCAGGTGGGGACACTCAGCAGGCCCCCTCCTGCAAGAAGCCCTCCTTGCCCCCGAGCTGGCTGGGACTCCCCTAAGACCCTGTCTGACTGACGGCTTCGCTCGCTCTTCCCTCGGGAAACGGACCTGCCCCTGTGGTGACGGGCGCTGGAAACCGGGGGTCTCGTTCGTGTCCTGTGCCCCCTGGGAGAAGATCCCCGCGCCACCTGTCCCCGACGCCCTCCCCTGTCCCGGCCCCTCCTTGGGGGGGGGGGGCCCGGCCCCCACGCAGGCCCAGGACGAGGCGGGGCACTCCGGTCCCACCGCGGAGAAGCTGCTGGGGCCCGCGTGGGAGGGAGACCCGGCCGCTCGCCGTTCCGCAGTCCCACGGGCACGGGGCTCCCGCGGGTGGAAGGGGCCGACCCACCGCCACCCGGAGCGCCTTACTCCTGCGTTTCCTCTCCAGGCGCCGCTGCCGCTTCTCCTCGCGCCGCCGCGCCTCCTCGGCCTCCTGGTGCTGCCGGCACTTGTGGAAGTTCTCCACCACGACGCCCACGAACATGTTGAGCACGAAGAAGCTGACGATGAGCAGGAAGGAGATGAAGTAGAGCAGCATCCACGGGTTGTGGTTGGGCACCGGCTGCGGCACACAAGTGACACGTGCGTCCCCGTCCTCCAGAGAGCACCTGTCCCCAGGACGGCCCACGCACGGCAGGATCCGAGACGGGGCTGCCTGGGAGGGCTCTGGCCCCACACGGCTGCGAGTTCTGAGGCCAAAGGCAGCCTCTTGGGGTCAGGTTGCCCGAGACGACCCACAAGACACGGAGAAGTGGGTCCCCGCCCCCCGCACCTGCTGATCTATGCCCACGGCGTCCAGCCCGTCATACATAATGTTCACCCAGCCGTCCTTGGAGGAGAGCACGAACAGGGACATCAGCGCCTGCGGGGCCGGAGCAAGGGTGGTCACCACAGCCCTGCCTTCACCCCGAGACGCCCGAGGGACCACACGACCCCCCGCTGATGGTCTCCGGCTCACAGACAGACCTGACCGTGACTGCCGTCCGGGGTTTCCGTTTTTCCCAGAAGGAGGAGGGCAGCCTGCACCCGCTGCCTGCACCCCGTCCCTGCCCTGCCCATCCCCCACCAGAGCCCCGCCCCGCCCACCTGGCCCAGGTTGTCGAAGTTGTACTTTCGCCGCACCCAGCGGTAGCGCGCCGCCCGGCACTCGGCCTTGGTGGAGATGTTCCTGGTATCGGCGCCTTCGCAGTAATAAAACTTCCCCTTGAAGAGCTGACCAGGGCGTCGGGGTCATCCGGAGGGCCCCGCCCTCCTGGCTCCCAAGGCGGCTGGGACTTCCCTAAGACCCTGACTCTGACGGCTTTGCCCGCTCTTCCCACGGGGTCGGAACTCACGGGGGCGGACCCATGAGTCCACCAGACCCGCCCCGCACAGCCCTCCCAAGGCTGCCGGGCTGCTGCTGACCACAGACCACTGTCCCACGGCTGGGACACCCACGGGCAAGCAGGGTGCGCACCTGCACCCCCAGGATGCCGAAGATGATGAAGAAGGCGCAGCAGATGAGGACGATGTTCCCGATGGGCCTGAGTGACGATATCAGAGTCTCCACCACCAGCTTGAGGCCTGGAGCACGGCTGATGACCCTGGACGCAGAGCAGGGGCCCATCCTTGAACCCAGCCCCCAACCCCCATCCCCCATGCCCCCTCCCTCCCGCTTCCCTGACTCCAGGACCCGCCCCTCCACAACCCCACCCCCACCTGGCAAAGGCCCCGCCCCTTCCCCCACTCCTCCTCTCCCTGCCTCCTCCTTGACTCCAGGCCCCACCCCTCCCTGGCTCCGCCGAGGCCCCGCCCACCTCAGCGGCCGCAGCGTCCTTAGCAGGCGCAGCACTCGCAGGATGCCCAGGATCTTGGCGCCACCGGCGGAGGCCATGGCTACCACGATGTCGACCAGGGACACCAGGACCAGCAGCCCGTCCAGCACGTTCCAGCTGCTCTGCAGGTAGGCGTGATCGCCGGAGACCAGGCCCAGGGCCACGACCTGGGAGGCGCAGAGGAGGAGCCCAGGTGGGGGGCACATTCAATTGGGGGCTGGGACAAGTACAGAAACTGGACACTGCTGGGCCCGCTGGTACCTTCACCATCATCTCAGCCACAAAAATCGCCGTGAAGATGTAGTTGGAGACGCTGAGGAAGACACGCTCCTGCAAGGACAGGCTGGTGAGAGGGGCCGGCCGCGCTCAGCCGCGCCCCCACCCCTCCTCCCCCCCACC